CATCTAGCGATGAAGCTTCTCCATCCGCTAAAATTTCTGATGACACATTCCTTAGCCCTGACACTGCAAGTACTGGATCTACGAACAGTAGTGAACAAGTGATACGACGTCATCACAATAATCCACTTGAAAAGTTGAAYGACTTTTTAGTTGTTTCAAATATTCCACCYATTCAAAGGAGATGGATAGACTGGGATGAAATAAGTGAGAAAACGAGGCAGCGATATACAAAGAGGGGCGCTGAAATCGTAGCCGCTGTTGTCCAAACCATCTCTCCTGAAAATGCTGGACCGATTTGGAAGGCTGTATCGTCATCTTCCATAATCAGTAGACTTCTTGKTGTAAATGAAGTTACAATGGCTGACCAACGTTATTTAGATGCTTTAGCTGAATCGTACAAGAATGCGTCGAGCTGGGATACCCGAAAACAAGTCCTGTCTATAATGACTGATTTAGCAAGCTATGCTGTGATATCATCCTTTATTCCTGGTCTTACCAAGTACAGGTACACTGCAGCAAATTTACATCGTTTACAGTTTGGTCGTGGTGTGCCAGTTCTTGTTCAAACGTCCGCTCGTATAAGAATAGATTCAAAACAACTCGATCACTTTTTATCATTTATAACTAGCCCACATTTGGTTCAAGATCTTCCTTTTGGCCAAAAGCACCTCACGCTTTCATCTGGCAAAGTCTTGGAAGTACCGAACGTGATACGTACAATGATACCACGACGGATTGTACAGCAGTATAGTAGATACTGTGAAGAAACAAATTTCCATCCATTGAGCGACAGTACGATGTTTCGCATACTGTCAGAGTGCAGTGCTTCAGTCAGAAAATCTCTTCAAGGCCTCGATTACTTCGCTGCGGATGGATCGCGAGCGTTTGATGAGCTATTATCGCTAGTTCCCAAGCTTGTTGAATATGGTGCTACTGACAGAGAATGGGAAGTGAAAACAACAGAGAATCTAAAGACATCAAGACTTTACTTGAAAGGAGATTATAAGGTAAACAAACATTATTATTTACWATCTTAACAGGATTCATCATAATTTGTTAATTCATTTTTTTCCACAGGTTCATCTTGACAATGCTGATAAAGTAGCAGATCACTGTTTAGTCTTTTCCCTTAGTGACAGTAGCGATGCTGACTTCAAGAAGGAATGTAATCACAAACATGATGCTGTCTGCGAGCAGTGCTTAGCTCTTGAAGAAACTTTAAAAGACATCGAAGGATGCTTCAAAGATTTTGAGTTTCCCTCTGTTGATGAG